GGAAGAAGCAAGATTTTCCAAATCTTTTCTTCCTCCTGTCCCATACCAGGTGGCTCCTGATATAAGACAGAAACTCTGAATCTTTCTTTTAACAACATGCTTGGATTTAGAGAAGGATAGCCACTGTCCAACTCCAAAGCCAGCTTTGACTTTTAAGTGAGTCAAAATTATCATTGTACTGAGAAGTAGGGATATATGTATGTTTAGGAAGTGAAATTTTACCCTGCAGAGATTACAGGTACCAAATGTCAGATTTCTCTTTGCTTGGTGTTTCTTCCTGGATATCTATCTTTTCTTCTTTAGGCATCTTTTGAAGATTGGTATTTTCCTTCAAAGACAAGAATAGAACCGTGCCCCAACCCTTAACACCTGTAGGATTGTCACCTCTGTGGATGAGCTGTCATTTTCTTTCTCAAGAGGTTTCTCTTTTCAAACCAAATCCTCATTAAATTTGATGATATCCATAGCTTTGTTTTTTTTTACTGTGGAAAAAAACATAGCATATCTTCTGACTTCCATTCTGAGGTCAAAATATCCTTAAAATACACTGGCTGATTTAATTCAGAAGTTTTTTTCTATTATCCAATGTCTCTCTGCTGCTGTTGTTCCTTTCTCATTAGCATTAAGAAACTTCAAGGTTAATGAAGCATTATGAAATCATTTACATGAGAATTTTTATCTCTTTCTATTTGTTTAGCATATCCTTTATAGTTTGATTTCATCTTATTATAACTGCCTGACATGTAGAATTGTATGATATGCCTATAATATGTTTTATATTATAATAAGCAAAAAAACCTTTCCTTTTCTGAGACACATATGCTGGACCCTTGTCTTTATTTGTGCAGGTATGCCTATCATGGCCATAAACTTCTAATAAATGGATGATTACTGAATCCAAACTGAAAGCAGTTGCTCATTGAAAACCTGAATAGGTGTCCATTGTGTAGTGAAAGTATTTTAATTTTCCAAATTCTACAAAGTGGAACACATCCATTTCCCAGATTTCATTCCTTTGAGTATCCTTTGGGTTACTTCCTGCAGGTAGTAGTGTTTGGTATATAAAGAACAAGTAGGACATCTCATTATAATCTCTTTAGTTTGTTGCCATGTAATAAAAAACTTCCTTTTTAAACCTTTGCTATCGACATGATTTTTTTTATAAAATTCTGAGGTCTTTAGCACACTTCCAGTCAATAAATGATCAATTCTATATTACTTTGTGCTAGAGGACCAGGCAGGCCATAATGGGATCAGATGTGTGTTATCTGTTTGGGACAAAGCCTATTCCTGATTATTTCTTAAACCAGAATAAATAATGAAGTCAATTCTGTATCATCTAGTATAAAATCAGTGGTTTCAATATGCAAAACAACTCTTTCTGCATATTGTAAATCAATAATATATGGAGAGGTTCTTTAAATACCCTAGTACCATGAGAATAGCATATAATTCTGACTTTTGAATAGAATGATAAGGACTATGTTCCACTTTACTTAAATCTTCTGATTGTAACCTGATTTATGTGCATCAGTATAGAATATAGGGACTCCATTTATTGGTGTGCCATGTTCAATGTGGGAAAAAATGCAATTAGCTCTCTTTATAAGGTTAATTTTATTGATTTTGTGATAGTTGTTATTAATCTCTCCCCCAAAATTAACACATGCTCTTTGCCACGGTTTATTGACTTCCCATACTTTTAAAATTTAATCACTAGTAAAAAGTACTATAATCATACTGTGTCTATTCCTGCTAATTGTTGAAGTCTCAATTTTTTTAGAATCAATTCAGAGACCTTTTCTACATAAGATTTTAATTTTTTGGCCCAGTTTATGTGTTCAAAAGATCTATTCTAATATAATATCTTTCCTCTGCATTAAAATTCCAGTAGGGTAAATTTTGGAGTGTAATATGACTAGAATGCAGTCATATTCTGCAATATGCACCTTCTGTAATATCTCCTCAATCAAAGTCAATTCTTTCTTAGCCTCAGTTGTTAATTCCCTTGGGATATTCAAGTCTGTTACCATCTAAGGTTTTGTTTAAATGAATTATTATATCAAGTGTTATCCCAGAAGTGGGTCATAGATTCGAAATGTTTCCTAGAAATCTTTGAAAGTCATTAAGAGTCCTCAATCAGTCTCTCCTAATTTGTGCTTTTTTTGGTTCTAAATTTTGTAAACCTATCTTGTAACCTAGGTAATTGACAGATTTTCCTCTTTGTATTTTTTTCAGGAGCAATTTGTAACCCCCATTTAGGCAATACTTTCTTTACTTCTTCAAACATTCTTTCTAAAGTATCTGCATTTGAGACACATAGCAAAATGTCCTCCATGTAATGGTAAATTATAGACTTAAGAAATTGCTTGCATAATATTTCCAATGGCTGACTTACAAAGTATTGACACAGGGTGGGACTATTGAGCATTCTCTGTGGGAGGATGGTCCACTGGTATCGCCTAGTAGGCTGATAATTAGTATAAGTAGTCACTGTGAAAGCAAATTTTTCTCTGTCCTTTTCTTGTAAAGGTATAGTGCAGAAACAATCTTTTAAATCAATATTTATAAGAGGCCATCCTTTAGGCAATAGAGAAAGCAAAGGAATTCCAGATTGTGGAGGGTCCATTGGTCGAATTACCTTATTGGCAGCTCTTAGATCTGTCACCATTCTTCATTTTACAGATTTCTTTTTAACAACAAACAGAGGAGAATTCCAAGGGTTGGTTGACTCTTCAATATGGTGAGCATCTAATTGCTCCTGTACCAGCTCTTCTAAAGTCTACAGTTTCTGTTCTGTTAAAAGCCAGTGTTGACTGGAGAGGGAGGAGAAAATGAGTAGGGAGAGGGGGAGAGAAGTGAGGGGAGGGGGAGAGGAGTGGGAGGAGAGAGAGGGGAATGGGAGGTGGAGAGGAGGCAGAAATTTTTTCAATAAAATAGATAAATAAAAAAACAGCCAGGGTTTAACCCATATTGGTTCCTTAATTAACCATTTTAAACATAGGGCCATTGGTACCTCTCAAGTTTTGCTAGTTGTTTTGTGTTTTTGTATACCCTGAATGACTGGTGACTGTTTTTTGATAGTAACGTATAATATTCTTCCCAGAAACATAAGTTGGTTTTTGTTCCATTTCTGAGACTGCAGGAATGTTAGTCTGGGTATTCCATTGCTGCAGCAGATCATGACACCATAGATTCACTGCTATATTAATCACTTATAACCTCAGTCTTCCTCTCTGTCCTTGTGGCCTTATGCAGTCGACAGATTTCATGCTTTGTTTTACTAGAGATACGGTTATAATTCCTAAGAATTGAACATCTCCCACCTGAAGAGGTCAATTTGAATGCCACAATTCTGGAGTAATGATAGTCACATCTTCACATGTGTCCAGTAAGCCTTCAATTACAATGGTATTTATTCATACTCTCAGCTTTGGTTTTTGATCATTTATAGAAGTCTGCCAAAATATACATTTCCTATTTTCTATTGAAATTTTTGATTCATCCTCCATATTTATTCTATCATGAATCCAGAGCAGTATTTTTTTTTTACAACAGGCACTGGATTTTTTTAATTTTTATGGAGAGATTTGTCCTCTACAGTGATTAGGAATGACTGGATCACATTTGACCTGGGGGCCTACAAGATGTCTCCCAAGGGTTTTCCAATGTTAATGGGTTGCCTAGTTTGTCTTATTTTTGTTCTACATTCATTGGTTCAGTGTTGACCTTTGCTGCATTTTCTACATAATCCAGAAGACTGAGACCTTCTATTTTGTCATTCCCAGAGTAGATATTATTTCTAGGAATGTTTTGCTTGCAATCACTTCTCAATTGTTCTTTTCTACCACAATCAAAACATTTGGTATTTTGATGTCTCTACATACCTTTGGAAATTGCTTCTCTTACCCAAGCCTCAGTATTATAGTTAAATGACTCAACATTGACTGTGTGCAGATTCCATTTATCTATTGGTGCTAATCTGACTTTTAAAGGCCCAAGTATCTTTTTGCATTCTAACTTGGAATTGTCAAAAGCCAAAGATTCAATGAGTACTCATCTAACTTCTGAATCTGTTACCACTATTTGGACAGATTTAGTTGATCTTTGTAAAAAGTCACTTTATTAAAAGTCTCTTAGGACTTATTTAACCTTACTATATAATTAAATTTTTCATGTTTCTTGAATACTGTCCCAAGCATTTAAGGCTGCTCTATAGCATAGGGACAAGATGTGTTTCATTATAAACAGCTTGACTCTGTGGATCAGCCTAACAGGGCTTGCCAAGAGTTTGATCTTGGGAAGCCTCAATTCCTTTGACTCTTCCCTGCTGTTCTAAGGCTTTAGCCTCTTCTTTCCAATAGCTCTTCCCTTTAGCTCTCTAAGCACTGGTGAGACTAATTGAAGCCAATAATGTAGAGTAACCTTATTGCTTGAAGTCCATGTCTTTACCAAACCCCTAACAAATGGTGACTGCATGCTCTAAGACACAATAGCTTGTTTTTATTTCTTCTAGACCTTTCATACCTATAGGTTCCCAGTTACATTCTGTGTATCCATTTGGGTATTGACTCAGGCCTCTATTGAGATTATCATGGATGATCCCTATAATCTCATGTCTTTTATATGTGAATTGTTTCTTTGTAAATCACACAAATGAATGTTTGTTGATACATTTTATACACTTGGAATTAATTGTGATGTGAGACAAGCTTACATACATATAATGGGAAGTGTGAAATAAAGAACAAGCTTTTCATTTAGGGTCATCATAAAGAATCATAAATGTCTGAGTGAGGTAGATAAAAATCTGAATATATAATGTATATAATATACCATAGATTGTTTTTAGTACTTTTGCTTTATGCTTGAATCAAACAAACTTTATTTCAATACAGTTGTATTATTATGCACAAAACATGCTGACTCAATGCAATATTAAGTGAACACCAAACATTTATTTATCAAAAGAAATGAAAATTATGGTAGCGGCACAGGCTTTTAATCCCAGCACTTGGGAGGCCAAGACAGGTGGATCTCTGTGAGTTTGAGGCCAGCCTAGTCTACAAGAGCTAGTTCCAGGATAGGCTCAAAGCTACAGAGAAACCCTGTCTCAAAGAAAAATAATAAAATTATAAATTAAAAAGAGTTACATTTTCTGCATTAATCTAAATGTGATTACATTGCAAGGAGCTGATGCTTGCTCATTCCTGGCCACCCAGATAGCTTTGACTTGAAATAATCACACAGAAACTGTATTATTTAAATCACTGCTTGGCCCATTAGTTCTAGCTTCTTCTTGGCTAACTCTTACATTTTAGTTTAACCCATTTCTATTAATCTGTGTATCACCATGAGGTCATGGCCTACAAGCAAAGTTTCAGCATGTCTATCTTAGTCTATAGCTTCATGGCATCCTCTGACTCTACCCTTCTTTCTCCTAGCATTCAGTCCAGTCCTCCTCACCTACCTAAGTTCTCCTCATCAACAGGCCAAGTCAGTTCCTTTATTCATTAATGGTAATCACAGCACACAGAGGGGGCTCCTAAGTCACCTCCCCTTTTTTGTTTAAATAAAAAGGAAGGTTTTAACTTTTACATAGTAAAATTACATATAACAAAATAGGTATCAAGCAAGAATTACAGTTACAATATTGTTATTTACTTTATCTTTTATCATAACTAAGGAAAACTATAACTATCTATCTATTCTTCAACTCCATCAAAAACTCCAGAAGGATATAGTACCTAAGTAAACAGGAAGTGCATTGCAAGCAACTTCCAAAACTCTAGAAATGACAGAGACATCTCACTACCTGGACAGTAACCCAAAGTTCTTCTGTACCATTGGGGCGTCAATCTTCAGCCTATAGGCCCATAGTTTCCAGCACACTTTTCCATGAAGCAGGAAATTTCAAAGACAGTTTAGTCACTTTCTTCTGTATTCTGTGGGAAAGGCTCACATTCTCTTTCATGATGCAGGGACCCTGGAGGATTATCTCACCTTTAGGCAAGTTTAGTAGTCATTTCTCTGTGGGTCTTGCATGCCCAGTGAAGCAGTTTAGGCAAGAGCAGTATCTTGCCCAAATGACTAAGCAACTCCATAAGAAGCCTCTTTAATACCATCATCCTTTTGTAATCTTAAGTTCTTGAAAACATTTTCAATGCCATATTCTGTAGTTTTTGAAAGGCCTGAAGAATGTCTATCCATCTGAAATATATCTCTATACATCTAGAAAATCTAACTAACATGACTACAAGCTTGACTATTATAGTTGATTATCTATTAACCTATATTTCTTAATTATTTTTTAAATGAACTACTCAATCACAATACCTTAATCAAGAACAGAAATACACGTATACAGTATAAAAAATTTATCTTAAATTCGTATTAAGTAACCAATATCCATACCAATGCAAATTGTTCATATCTATATCATATCCTCCCTTTACATGTAAATAAACTTTTATAGACAATATTTGGGAATATGAGCATAGTTATTTTTCTCCAAACTGCTTCCTGCTGTTTATTGGGTGAAGTATTTTCTTTGTGGGGGTGTTCATATCAACCTTTCAGGGGTCTTGTTCCATCATACCATATTTGTCTGGAAGCAATCCACAGGTTCTAATCTTCTGTGAAAACAAAAGAAAAACCTCTTTTCCAAAGCATCCTATCCTTAGACTCAAATTTTGGAATCAAGATACCTTTAGAACATATATGATGATTTAGCTTAGCAGCCCATACAATGCGAATTGGAACCACACCATGGGATCTCTCAGTCCTCACCATCACCTGGAGGGAAGTTGAGGGCAGCTCCACACCCCTGAGCTGCAGCAAGCCCTAGACAGACCAAATGGAGGTGCAGCGTTAGAGCACCAACTCTGAACCTGCCCGACTCACTGGCCACCCGTGGCCACACAGGGAGAAAGAACAGAAAGAAGGCTCATTAGGATTAAGAAGTGTAGTCTTTAACCTTAGTAAACATGGCTTCCAGTCCACATGGCCACCCTCAGTAAACATGGTGGTTAGGTCATCTGACCCTTAGTCAGATATGGCCCTTAGGTCATCTGACCCTTAGTCAATATGGCGGTGAAGTCACTCTTTTAACCTCTAACAAAATGGCAGAGATCACATGGTCACCTTCAGTAAAGATGGCTGTTAGGTCATCTGACCTGCCCTTACCAAAGATGGTGCCTGCCCATGTGTTATAAAGTACTGACAGACCACAAGGTGTTTTTTTTTTTTTTTGAGTAGTAATACAGATTTTAAACATACCCAATTAACAGCACCCACATACAGGACATTCCGAAACACATGTGTGTGGCTACAGTTTACACATTCTTTCACACATATGAAACAGACAGGAAACATCTGAGCATAGGCAGCTAGTCTCAGGTCTGTCCACAGCTTAGCTGGAAAGAGGAACACCCCTCCCTCCAGTAAGCGGGATGGCATTGCAGTGGTGGTGACTGGGGGGAGGCAGGAAGCAAACAGAGACAGGACAAGCTGGAGAAGGAGGCACTTTGAACACAAGCATGAGATGCCTAGCCCCAAGACAGGTTAAGCCTTAGCCATGGTGGGTGGTGGCTATAATTCTGTGTGAGAGAGACCTTGGCTCGGGTGGTGAGAGCCCACAGCAGACGAGAGCCCACAGCGGGTGAGAGACAGACACACCTTGCAGTAGGAGTTTATGTGAGAAGTTTTATTGGAGGAAGGGAAGGGAGTAGAAGAGAGAGGAAGGTAGTGCAGTCACCTCATGGAAAGAGAGGGAGGGAGAGAGACACAGAGAGAACAAGGAAGAGGAAGAGAGAAAAGAGTAGCAGAGTTTGCCTTTTAAAGGGACAGGGTGCCCTGCACCCAGGTGTGACTCTGGGTGACACACTTTGTCAGGACCTCAAGGGGCAGGGCCAGGTGTGCCTGGATGCTAACAGGCAGAGAGGAGGCAGAGACAGGTGCAGAGATTGGTCCTTGGGGAGAAGAGTAGTGGGAGAGAAAAAGAGAGAGAGAGGGAGAGAGAGAGAAAGAGACAGGAGGTGGGCAAGACCCACCTGTTAAAGGGGAACAAGGAGGAGTATGACACCGTTGCCAAGGATGAGGAAGAGGAAGATAGCAAAAGAAGATCCGAAGCCTGAATATGCTGGCATCCCAGGGATCCAGAGAGGATCAGATTGAGTGGGCACAAGCTGTTTCAAACAATCGTCATACAAGAACAGGGGCCAAGGGCTCTGAGCCCACGAGAGACACAGTTGTCTGGTACCAGGATTTCAAGCAAAATCAAAAGATGAGGAAAGGACTGTGCTTGAGAAAGGAAGCCTCGCTTCCAGGGGGATGAGGTGGATAACCCTACCAGAGACCAGTTGTTGCTAGGAATGGAAAACAATGCCACCAGTGAGTAAAGGCAGATTTGCTGAAGGCAGAAGAGAGCAAGCAGATCAGAAAGCAAGATCTAAGGGATAGTTGGGCCAGCTCTGACTGCAAAAGTGGATGCCTTTAGAAGTCCTTAAATTGGATAAAGAGTGCAAAAGTTGGAGGTTAGATGATGATGCAGTTCCCATGAGTGAGGCAGACAAGCGAGACTCAGGGTCTGTCATTCCTAGCATCCCAGGACTTCAGAGAGGGTCGATTTTGAGACTGCAGAGGCTGCTAAGTGATCTGTCAAACACAGAGCAGGGGCTAAGGGCTCTAAGCATGAGAGTGCCGTGGTTGCCTGGTACCTGGGTTTAATGAAGCCAAGAGGAAAGAAACCATGCTCAAGAGACAAGTCCTCACTTGTGGAAATGAACAGAGGTGGAAAAGTGGGGCTCACCAATCGTGCTGATGTTAGATGGAGGGGTTCAGTATTCATTAGTTGGAAAAGCAAGGCTGTCAAACGTGGACCAGGTTCTAGGGTCCTGGCATCCTGCCAACTGCTAGCAGGCAGGAGGACACACAGGAGGGCCTTTCCAGGTCATGGAAATGGTATCATTTAAAAACACCATGAACAGAAGTTGAAGTCATGCCATTTAACAATACTTACATAGGAGGTTTATTGTAAGAGGAGAGAGAATGGGCAGAGAGACAAGACCAGGTCCTGGGGACAAGTGTTAGGTAAAAGAGAAAAAGTGAGAAGGAGAGAGAAAAGAAAAAGAGACAGGAAGTGTAAAAGGTCCACCTTTTAAAAGTGAACACAGCGACAGTGCATAGAAGGTGCTCTTAGTGGTTGCAGCCTGGATGTGTCCTGTCAGGACCCCAAGGACAGGCCAGTACAGATGCCTGAATACTAAAAATCACATCTTACCTTGGGAATTAAGAGATTAATTGGAGGAAATACATCCATTCCTGTGGCTTTTCTGGGTGGGTATTGCTGCTGAAGATGCTCAAAACCATGTTGGCCGTTGGGCCCTCTCTCTGCTTGACCCTGTCCATCCACTCTCACTCTTCTCAATGTTATTGTTCCTGGGTTGTTTTTGTCTTTACAGTGGGTGCAATGCTAAACTAGTCACGCCTATCAGCATGTAGGGCTCCTGCCAACAGGGAATCACTGTATCTTTTATTCAAACTTTTCATGGACCTGTCCAGAGAGTGTCCTGTAACAAGGGGGTCTAGAAATGAGAAGAAGAAAATTATATGAATTTAGTAGGTGGAGACAGAACAAGCATGAGGCTTAGTGTTGGGAATCTCTGCTCCTGTCCCACTCCTCCCATTGCAGACCCCGCCCCTCAGAAAGCCTGCCATTGGCAACTCCTCCCCTGGAGCTGCTCAAAAGTGCCTACAGGGTATTGAAGACCAGGTCTCTAGACCTGCCTTTCTGAGAATCACCCAGGATTGCTTTGATCTGTTTATTAAGCCTGGCTTTATTGATTCAGTTGGATTTCACTTATTGCATCATCGCTGAAACCCACAAACAGGGGTTCCAATAGTTACCACTTACTTTAGGAGGAAAGAGTCCATTGAAGTTCTGTGGGTGGCTGGAGAGATGGTTCAGAGGTCAATATCACTGGCTGACCTTCCAGAGGCTCCGGGTTCAATTCCCAGCACACCTGGTATGGTAGTAACCATGTCGGGCATCCTCTTCTGGCTCTTCTGACACCAGGCATGTACGTGGTACATAGACATACAGGGAGGCAAAACATCCATACACAATAAATGAAAATAAATTTTAAAACTTTATAGGAAAAGTTATGTGGTATTTGGCTTTTGCGCTAACTTTTTTTTTTATGTATGTATGGATCTCCTTAGGAAGGAGTTGCTCCCAGGTCCTGGCTGGATCAGAATAAATTCCCACTTTGGGACTATACTAACTTCCTACAAGCAGGCGACACGTCCATAACGAACTTTCAGGAGGGCATGGGAGTTTAAGTGCGTAATCCCAACACTTTCCAGGGAGAGACGGTCTATATATTGAGTTTTAGACCAACCAAGGCATTTAGGAGAACCCCATTTAAAAAAAAATTAAAATTTAAGTTAGATTTAGCTTTAAGCAACTTGTTCTTTAATATCCCAATATATGCTTGGAAATTAAACATAGATGCACAAAGAGTATGCATCTGTTAGTGGAAGGGTGGATGTAGGAGGTTTTCACGAGTATTATCTTTTGAGAAAAGGATGCAGGTATACAAGTTACTGCAGTGTTATTAAGTATAAACTCAGTGTTTTAAAATAACAGCAGGAGGCCCAGGTGGGGCAGCAGAGCACCGGCGCAGGCCCAGGCGGGACGGCAGACCACCAGAGCAGGCCCAGGCGGGGTGACAGAGCACTGGCGTAGGCCCACGGGGTGGTGCAGGCCCAAGCGGGGCAGCGCAGGCCCAGGCGGGGCAGCAGAGCACCAGAGGCGCAGGCCCAGGCGGGGCGGCAGAGCACCTGTGCAGGCCCAGGCGGGGTGGCAGAGCACCGGGGCAGCTGAGGCTCAGGGAGCACCAGAGAGCACCAGGGAGGTGCAGGAGGCGGCAGACAGCGGGGACCAGCGCACAACACCGAGAGCAAATCGCCCCACTACAATTAAAGCAAAGAGGTAGGCTTTTGGTTGGTAAGGAACCGGGACCTGTTCCTGAAGACCCTTCTGAGGGGCGAGAGGGAACTGGGCCCCTTACAGGAGCCAGGAAACAGAGCGACAGCATTTTGTAGGAGGAGCCCCTGGCCAACAAGGAAACCTAACCCGGTTCTAAAAGACCCATAAGATAGCTTCGATAGGAGGAAATGGGCAGGCGCCAAGGCAAGAATTCACCCAACAATCCGAAAAACAACATGAAAATACCAGAACCCAATGATCTTACAACAGAAGGACTTGAACAACCTAACACAGAAGAAGTGGGAAAAATTGACTTTATGAAAGCAATAGAGTCCCTTAAACAACATGTAAAAAACACCCTTATAGAAATGGATGAGAAGTATAACAAAAAGTTTGAAGAATTGAGTAAATACGTACATGAGACCCTGGGAAACCAAGAAAA